CACAGACTGGAAGATAGTAGATAACAAAATTCAATTCAACTGCCCCCACACAGAAGGATAGAAGGAACCAGAGCTAAATAAGTACGTCGTCAGCATGTTGGTATACAGTAGACTGTTACAGAAACTGTTTATGTAATAAATAGAAATTAGAATTCGCTATTTACTCAATATATATTGAGTAAATAGCGAAAATAGTATATTGAGGTAACGCAAAATAACATAACCAAAGATCCAAAGAGATTCTGGTCCTACATTAAGTCCAGGAAAGGTGAATCAAGAATTCCGGGTAGAATGACATTCGAAAATGATATCATAACTTCGAGCGGAAAAATAGTTGACGCTTTTGCAACTTACTTCCACTCATCATACATAACGTCTCAACAAAACTCTCAAGCAAAAACGAGTTCATCTGATATCCCCGCACTAACTATCCGCACAATAACTGATAATGATGTTTTGAATGCTTTAAACAAATTAAAAAGTTCACCAACAAGTGGCCCGGATAATGTTCCATGCTTTATGGTTCGCGACTGCAAATATGTTTTTGTAAAACCCCTTTCAACAATCTTTAATTTGTCACTGAAAGTAGGTTCTTTTCCGTCTTTATGGAAGCTCTCAAAAGTCACGCCCGTGTTTAAAAGTGGTGACAACACAGATGTCAATAATTACCGTCCTATTTCTATCTTGAGTAATTTTTCAAAAGTTTTTGAAATTGTTATATACTCCTACTTATATCCTCATGTAAAAACCTACATATCGCCCCAACACCATGGCTTTATTAATAAAAGATCTACTTTAACTAATCTGACATGTATTACTCAATTTATATCAGATGCTATTGACAAACAATCACAGGTAGACGTAATTTATACTGATTTCTCCAAGGCGTTTGACACAATCGATCACGGCATTTTATTACAAAAACTTGAGTCATTTGGTTTAACAGGTAGGATCTTTCGACTTATTAAATCATACTTATCTAACAGGTGTCAGTTTGTGTATTACAATGGCTGTCGTTCGTTGACATATGATGTGAAATCGGGGGTTCCACAAGGTGCAAATCTTGGACCACTAATGTTTTTGATTTTCATCAATGATTTATCTGCCACTGTAAAAAGTCTCGCCCTACTGTTTGCTGACGATGCTAAGTTATATAGAATTGTGAACAACATCAATGATGCACTTTTTCTTCAAGAGGATCTTGATTCTCTGAATAAATGGTGTCTAGACAATAAACTTTCATTAAACGCCGCCAAATGTAAAATAGTGTCATTTACTCGTAAAAAATGTCCAATTGCCTTCAATTACAAAATTAAAGATAAACTCTTAAACCGCCACAATGTTGTTAAAGATCTAGGCATATATTTTGACTCAGAATTAAACTTTCATCACCATATAAACGAACTTACTGCCAGAGCAACTTCTATTCTTGGTTTCATTATCAGAAATAGCAGGGATTTCACTGATTTAAGCATTATAAAACTGTTATATAACACTTTCATCTTATCTATCCTTCAATATTGTTGTCCTATATGGAACCCAATTTATGTCACACAAATTAACTTACTCGAATCTGTTCAAAGACGCTTTTTAAAATTTCTTTGGTATAAGAAGTACGGTGTCTACCCTGAACGAGGAATCGACAACGAACTTCTCAATAGAGCGTTTGATACGTTACCTTTAACAATCAAAAGGCAAATAAATATTGTCATATTTTTCTATCAACTTCTAAATTATAATGTCAACTGTGCTGAATTGTTAGCTAATATATCTTTTCATGTACCTCGCCAAAATTCCAGAAACATTTCCCCAACGTATACCTCCACACCACATTCTAATACCTTCATTAAATCTCCTATGTACACAATGTGCAAACTTTATAATAAGGAATTCTGTATTATTGATATATTCCAGTTTAATAGTTTAAAATTTAAAAAATTAATCATTCAACATTGTTATGCAAAATTAAATGTTTAGCACTGTTTTCTCACCTTGTTTATACATTATAATGATTTGTTATTTTTTGTCTTTCCTTTTGTTACATTTATATAAGTATAATTTTGTTCGTTTTGTATTAATTTTGTTGCTCTGTAATTGGTTTTGTAAAAACTGTTGGGCAATAAACGCTATTATTATTATTATTATTATATATAGGTGACACATAATTCAAAAGTTAATAACGTCGCAAATAAATGAACTCTGCTTATAACAGAATTTCTAGAGCAATTTTTTAAGTGGTAAACAACTATAATGCACCTTCACTTAATACACTGCGTTTCATATAAAATGCACCACCTAGAAGGAGTAGGCGTAGAATGTAGAAATTTGGTGGAGAAGACTGTTGCATATAGACAAACAATTGATTAAAATTTGAAAGAAAAACTACTACTTGTTTAGATAATATACCGAGTGTTATTCGATTTTTATTAATTTTTTGATTATGTTTTAAAGATACTTGAGTAAGATTCTTTTGCAATTTTACTTGACATTTGTCATTATTGTGCTTGCAAAAATGCTACGAGTTCACACACGAGGTAATTTTCAACAGATAACACCTATTGAAAGAGGGCGAATGATTGGGATGCATGAGGCTAGTTTACCATTTCGGGAAATCACCAGAAGACTCGGCCCAACGGATTCTACGATATTAAGAACAAGTCGAGAATGGAACAACGAAGAGCTACAAATGCGTCGCAGGGGTACCGACCGTTTCAGAGTCACCCAAGAACGCGAAGATCATTTGCTAAGAAGAAGTGTTATTCAGTACCCTTGGTAACCATAACGATCAGTCGGGATGGACTGGATGACAGCAATTGGGCACAGAATCCGAGGAGTACCATCTACCGCCAAATTCGTTCCTTTGGCTTGAGATCTTATCGTCCAAACTGCAAACTTCCCTTACCACAAGAACACAAAACTACCAGGCTTCACTGGTACCAAGACAGGCAGCAATGGCTGTAATAGTGGAATGTCATAATGTTTAGGAACAAGTCTAGGTCTTGTTTGTGGCACTCTGATGGACGCATACGTGTTCGAAGGCCTTGAGGCCAAAGGTAAAATCTGGAATTTGTACAGAGATGTCATATCGCTCTAACACCTGGAGTAATGATATGGGATGGTATACACATCTGTTGAAGTACTCCCTTAGTGTTCATTCCAGGCACGCTAAATGCCCGGCATTACATCGTTAACGTGTTAAATCAATTTCTTTTTCCTTATCTCTCGAACCGTCGAAGAACATCTTTTGAACAAGATAATGCGTGGCCTCATGTGGCCATATTAACTTAAAGAGTGTTTGACGAAAATAACGTCAACTTCTTACCCTGGCCTGCCCTATCACCAGATTTATCAACAATCGAAAATGTTTAGGATTTAATGCATAGAAGGCTGCGCAATTTACCACATCCTCCAAAGACTTTGGAAGAATGTCTACAACAAATTCAAAATGCCTGGAATGAGATACCCCAGCAGGCAATAGATCATCTCATTTTAAGCATGCCTAGAAGAATACAGTCTTGTATTCGTGCACGTGGAATTTTAACACATTATTAACATTTCTTGTGTTAGACATTTTATTTTTTCTTTGAAATTTTAATCAAATGTTTGTCTACGTGCAATAGTCTTCTCCACCAAATTTCAACATTCTACGCCTACTCCTTCTAGGTGGTGCATTTTATTTGAAACGCAGTGTACAATACAAAAATTGCTTATTTTGAAGACTTTTGAAGTTTAAAATGTGCTCTAAAAACTGAACAACAATGTTGAAACATATGAACTACCTATAGATTGAATTAAAATATTCACATTTGCCTGTTAATACTTAAAATTCTGCTTTTCTTTGAAAATTATTGGTCACTTCTAAAACAAACAGGGAAGTCACTACTTTTCGCAATTTTTCCAAGTTAGAGATAAGAACTGTGAAATTTGTTCAGCTTGCCAGAAAATGTTCTATTATTTTCTACTAGAAGCAAAATCCTGCTTTAATAGGGAATCTGAGAGATCTAATACCATCCATTTTTGTCAAAAACCATCTTGCATTGCAGTTTTTCTTACACGTTTCTGAACTCCTTATTTACAGAGGGCAAATTTAACTTGCTTCTAGAATGAAAAACCTTATTAATAGTACAATAATTGCATAAAGTATTTTCTAATGTTTACATATTTCAAAGTTATTTCATTATCTAGAATAAGGTACCAAATACACAACAAATTGTTATAGTTTAATTACAGTCTATTTTTACAATAACGAGTTTGAATTTTTTACTTTCTTAATCACTCAATACGTTTGAAAATGTAAGCTACTTCGTTTAAGTTCATTGTTGGTTTCTGTCATGTCTAATCTTTGACATTACAAAGGTTGTGGCACGTTTCTTTGCATATCTGACAAGCAGTGATTTATCAAAGTCAGTCCATAACATTATGTGCTTCATTTTACACTTTCACAAATCTTTGTCGATTATCTGCACCTCTGTTTAATTAATACCCAGTTTTTAATATCATGCAGACTTCTGGTTTGTTCGTAAAGAAACTTCGTATAAAACTTGGTTTCTGCAAATTCTCCCATGGTCTAAAACGCACAGACACTTCAACCACTACTCGATCCTCTTAGGAAGGTTTCACATCCATGACCTATTCCACACTTCGACTGTTCTCAATGTTTATAAATACCTTACGTTACCCGCTGATACCTACAATCACAATCGTCCCACCATCCGTCCGTCCCCAATCGCCAACATCGGCCTCCCTCGGGGTGCTTGACCTCTGTATTTTTCGTCGATTTCGTGTGTTATTTTGGGTTAGGAACGTGGGGGCATGGTTCAACCCGTGCCTTAGTGAAGGTGACCCCCGAACGCGCGCGTCAAGAGCCCGAGAATCGCCCGATTTTGCCATAATCGGGGGCCAAAGCCCGCCGCCCAACAATAATAAACAACCGAATTTGAATCGGGAAAACGGCGGGGGAGGGGCGCCCGGGGTGATTTTTCCACTGAATACTCACCCACCTCCTAGGTTTTGTCCAGAAATATCCAGGATGCACTCACTACAAGCTGGTACGAATCCGGCACGCCTGCATTGCGGATATACCAAAACAACGCATATACACAGCCAGTGGTGGGCCGCGAAACCATTTTGATGCGAGCCATCAATACTGAAAGTCAAACTTGGAGGAGGCGATTTCGCTAAAAGCGCAATTTCAAGCACTGAGAGTCGCACGCCGCTCGAAACGTTGACGAATTTCGGTGGTTCTTTGCGAAAACCCGGGGAAAATCGGCCGAATTTCAAAGATTTATCGCCGAAAGAAAACGGAGGATTTCGCAGATTTGAATGCGATCTAGGGACTTTCGGGACCGGCGTGGTGGCGTTCTTGTTGCTTGACAGCTTGACGCATGACGGGTTGTCGATTGCAAAATGGCGCTGAATTTGCACGTGAGAGTACACCCGGTGGTGCTGTTTCAGATTGTGGACGCCTACGAACGACGAAATGCAGATTCACACAGAGTTATCGGCACGTTGTTGGGTATGTGAAGTGTTTTTTTTTTTACTTTTTACGCAAGAGAAAAAAATGTAAATGTGACGTTTACCTAACCTATAAGTGTCAACATCTGTGATTTTCAAGTTTCAAGTTTTTAGTAAAAATTGCTTACAATCTGGGATTTCCTGAGGAAATGCTAAAAATAGGTACCTAGTACCATTAACATCAATTACTTTTTGGGACAATATGCTTACATCACAAATCTCATTGTTAGATATAAGGAATTCACGTTCGGTAGATGTAACTAGATTTGGTAACTTTTTTTTTTAAGCTGTGTAACTGCGGACATAATTGTTCCAGTGTATAATGTATAACTGGAATGTCAGAAAGTAGGTATCAAAAATGTGACATGTAAGTAAGTAAATGGCAAATATCGAAAATGTGATGGTTTTGTGGTGATCTGCTGAATCTACTTTTGAATCCAGGAGAAAATTGCATCCCTCTAAAAGCCCAAAGAGCAACCCACATGCAAAATTGTGAATCTTTTCCCTTCACTAGTTATTTTAGGACAAGCTTTGATGTCATCATCATGGATCCGCAATTTTACCATGGATCCGTTTTGGTATATCCATGTCTCATCCAAGGAAATGAAAAGTAAATCTTCACCACTATCACGCAATTAGAGATACCGCTTTAGAAATTTGATTCTGGTACCTATTTAATGTGAAAACTTTCGCCTTCGGAAACCTAAATTTATACGTGTACGTATTACGTACAATTATTCTCCAAGCCGAGTATTTTCCCTTTTATAAAACAATAACGATTATATAAAACTAAAAAACTAATTGTAGAGCGGACCCAACAAAGCATGTAGGTATATAAATCTGGGCAGTTGTCTTTCCGATTCTGAGTATAATATTAACGGCACCGACGCCGTTGTATCGGTATTATTTTAAAATTCGAAAAACACTCGAGAACACTAGCGAACTTTACGGAAAATATTTCTGCCACCAGTTTAACTGTTTCCGTTTTACCAAAGCATTGTCTATTTTTTCCAGTAATTTTTTCAAAACCACGAAATATTTCTTGTTTCTTTTCCTTTAAAATGCGCTTTCTCATGACTACTTTTGTGGAAATTGTTTCCACGCTGTATTTAAGGATTTTCTTCAAACGAAGCGTGTTGAAATTAGAAAAACTTCGTTTTTTTCCAGACAATTCAGATTTGACATGTGAATTAGAAAACTAGACAGTTGATACCAATCTTTAATTTCTAGTGATCTTAAGATTGCAACTTAACCACAGAAAAATTTCTGTCAGCTACTTCTACCGAACGTGAATGCTTATTAGTTTACTGTAGCTTCATAAACTGTGAAGAGATACCTAAACCAACCATTTTTGTGTCTGAAAATAATATTTTTATTTAATTGAAATATTAAGTATATCACATTTTTACTTTCTACAGAGAAAAATTTACATTTTTGTTTAATTCGATTAAGTCACTTAAGTTACTCAAACGGTTCGTCACCAACAACTACAATTAATGTAGGCTTTTAAAAGATAGATTTATTGCGCATTTTAGTAACGGGTGCTCAAAAAGTTTTCACAGTCGGGTATACTATGCAAATATTTTGCATTTCTTTGATTAAATCAGTAAACGTTACAAGTGTCAATGTCAACAGATCAGAGATGTTAAATTCAAAATGAACGTCACTATTGAAATGATTTAATGGAGGAACAGCGAATTTAAATTGAACATTTTACCGCACAGAATCCTCCTTCGCAGTTGTAGCCCCTTGGCTCTAGGCAACCCATCAATCATCATTCATCAAATTGAATTTGACGAGTTTGAATTTTGTTGGTGCATAAAGTTTAATCAAAAGAAATTTGTAAATACTTTTGTGAATTAAGACTTGTTCACACTCACACGACAGTAGATGGGAGATTGTTGTTTTGTTCCTAGATAGTAGCCTTAACAATTTTTACTAAGTCGGTCGGGCGACTTGCTACTTTTCGCGTTTTCTCGAAGTTTCATAACCTCGAGAGTACGAAAAAAGTGGTTTCTCGTTTACTCATGTCTGTCTGTTGGTCTGTCTGTATGGCGTCTGTGTCGATTTTTATTAGGCACGTACAAAATTTGTATGTGTCTTAGAAATATCATGTAGATGGTTAAACAGTAACCAAAATGTGGCTAATCATTCCACCACCAATGGGATGACGTCATCTCCAAAATTTACAATAGTAAATTTGTCTCTAGTTTCATAAAATAAGATACTCGTACACTTGTGGTGTCTGAATCCGTGTTGAGTTTTCACCCTAGACATCCAGATTTTTGGGAAAAGAAATCAAACATTTTGCAATTTAACTTTGAAACTGTAAAACCAAATGCTCTGAAATCTTGCAAACATTTTAAGGTTATCGTCATCATGGTAAATCGTTAATCAAAATTAATTCGTTTAAGCCCTCCCAAAAAATTGATGACGTCATATATTGCATAATAAATCCTGTCTGAAATATGCAAAATATTATGACTCTATACTTGTGGATTCTCAATGCACTCATAATCTTTGTACTTATCTAAGGTGGCTCAAAAAATTAACGAATGAAGCAGTACTTTATTAATTCAATCAAGAAAATCTCATTTCCTAGTATTACACTAAATCTAGCCAAATTAATGTCTTTGCAAAAATGTTGATGACGTGATTACAAAATTTTGTAATGGAAAAACTCGCTTGAAACAAATGTGTACCAGGCTTTACATTTATGTTAACATTACGAACACATCTTTATTTTAACTTATCAGGGTTATGATAAAAAAAAATAAAATTCACAAAATGAAATCTTCTAATTTTTCGAAAAATCTGTATTTGTTTACTTTCGACCAATTTTTTGATATCACAATTTTTCGATTTTCCATTTTCTTTTATTTTTCAATTTTTCAATTTTTCAATTTTTCCGATTTTCAATAACTCGATTTTGCAATTTTTCATTTTTTGATATTTCAGTTTCTCAGTTTTTCATTTTTCAGTTTCCTCAATTTTTAAAGTTCTTGATTTTCATTTTCGCGAATCTTTAAATTTCATTTTCTCGATTTTATATCACAATTTTTCGTTTTTAACCCTCTGTATTTTTGCAATGTTCCTTTCGATTTTATAATTTTTCGTTTATTCAATTTTTCAAATTTTCGATCTTGGATTTTTCAGTTCTTCGGTTGTCCAATTTTTAAATTTTTCAATTTTGTAATTTTTGGATTTCCAGTTGTAGCATTTTCCAATTTTGATTTTGCAATATGTACTTATTTCGTTTTCTCGATTTTTGAGTTTTTCAATTCCCTAATTTCCAATGTCGAGATTTTTCAAAGTATTCATTTTATATTATTTCATTTATTCATTTTAGATTTTTCACTTTTACTTACGATTTTTGCAATTTTTTTATTCGAAAAGTTGAAAAATGGAAAAATTAAAAATCGAAATAACTGAAAAAACTAAAAATCGAGAAACTTAAAAATTGAAAAACTGGAAAACTCAAAAATTGTAAAAACGAAAAATTATAAAATCGGCAAAATTGTAAACGAAAAACTGTAACACTGAAAGATCGAAAAATTGAAAAAGTTTTAAAATCCAATAATTAAAAAATGGAAAAAAAATTAAAATAATTCTAACATCGAAAAATCCAGCGCACGCTTAAATTAGCTTGTATTGTAAACACAGTACTTGTTAAGATAAGATTGATTTTGGCACATGACATACTTTTTAAGAAAATAGAGGGTGGATGGGCGGGGCCAGTGTTTCGTAAGATAAATACTCGCGATTAATACTTTATAAAACTAGAAACTCAATGTTTTTCAAAATTTGTGTGCAATTTTTCGAAAGATTGGTCTCGAATAATCTCTTAAGAGATATCCCAAGAAAGGTTTCAATCTCTAAGAATATGAAGAATTCTCTATTGGTTAGTTCTTTTTTCATCTCAAATAAAGCCATTTTTTATCTTTTCAAATTTTTTGGAAATTTTGGGGATTTTTGGAACATTTTCTTCACATTTCTGTTACTTGAAGACAAATCGTCAAAAATATTTTAGATTCGTAATCTACGAAAAATTATCTATAAGCCAACGATTTTCCGTTTGGACAGATCCACTTTTGACTATTTAAAAAAAAAAAAATGGAAACCATGAAGAATGTTTCTTTTTTCTCGCTTATTTAAAAAGATACTGCAAAAAGGACTTAAGATTCGTAATATGCGGTCCACAATCTTGAAACCAAGGGGTTTGACGTTTTAAAAATTGTTTTTGGAAGATTTTCGAAATTTTTCACTCGACTTTTTTGCTTAAATGAAGGAGAAATAGTAAAAAAAAAACGTAGTCGAAATGTGTGAAAAATTGTGTATAAATTACTTTCTTCTCAAATAATGCTATTTTGACACTATTTTTTTAAGTTTTTGGAATGTTTAACTTGCATTTCTTAGTTATTTGGAAAACATAGTGTCACTTACTTATTCAAAAATATATTGCAAGACTTGTTAAAATAAACCTGATTTTGGGAAATGACATACACTATAAGAAAATAGAGGGCGGGTGGGCGGGGCTAGTACTTGCTAAGATAAGAGTCGTTTTGGAAAATGACATATCTTCTAAGAAAATATAGGGCGGGTGGGCGGGGCTAGTACTTGTTAAGATAAGAGTGATTTTGGAAAATAACATACCTCCCAAGAAAATACAGGGTGGGTGGGCGGGGCTAGTACGTGGTAAGGGAAGACTGATTTTGGCAATTTTTTAGTAAGTCGATTTTTACCTACTTTTAATTATCGTATCGATTTGAAGCTTTGCAAGAGTGTGTAATTTGGATGACAATACAATAATTTGGTACTATCGAGCGGTAGGGGTCCACTCTACTCTCTAAATTGTGCCATATGTGACAAAGTTGGAGTGCAATCCAAAAATTGAAAAAAGAAACATTATAAAATCGGAACACCGAAAAGTTTAAAAATGAAAAACTGCAATCTCTTGTCTGTGCTTTTATGAACATTTCATCAATATCTCCTAGATAAGCTGCAAACAATGCGGGGCCGAGTGGGCATCCCTGTCTCACTCCTCTATTTGTATAAAAGCTCTCGCTCTCTATGCCATTCACTCTCACCTTACTTACTGTTTCTTCATATATTTCTTCCATTTTCGTTACCAGGTACGCATCCACTCGATTTCTCCTCAAATACTCCCACATTTTCTCTCTATTCACGCTATCAAACGCTGCTTTGAAATCTATGAACAATGCGTACATTCGTCCACCCTCTTTCCTTATTTCCCTTCCCACTAAATGCCGCAGGATGTACACGTTGTCTATAGTACCTCTTCCTTTCCTAAACCCTGCCTGACCGTCTGGTAACTTACCCCTTGCTTGCATCTCCCTTCGTAACCTCTTATCTAGTATCATTGCGTATATCTTGTACGCCGTATTGAGCAAGGTGATCCCTCGGTAGTTCTTCACATCACTTTTTTGCCCCTTTTTAAATAATGGGATTATTATACATTCTCTCCACTGCCGAGGAAACTCTTTTCCCTTCCAAACTCCATCTACCACTTCCCATATACTTTCTTTCACTCCTTCTGTCCCGAACATCCACGCTTCGTTCTGGATTCCATCCCCTCCTAGTGCCTTTCTTCTTTTCAGACTTTCAATCTGTGTTCCTTTTTTATCTTCTGTTATTTCCGAACCTGTCCACATTTCTTTCGTCGTTGTGATTTCTTTATTTATTTTGCAGCATTTTCCTCACAACCTCCCAATAATTCCATAAAGTGTATTCTCCATTCATGTACTTATTTTGATTTTCCTACTGACTTCAGTCTTCCTTCTCCGTTCCTTGTTTAAATATCTCCATACTTCTTCTTCTGTTTTCAGGGACTTTATTGTCTTCTCTTGTTCACGTTTTTCTCTTTTTCTTTCTTCACATTTTCTCCTATAATTCTCTCTTGCTTTTAAGTACTCTTCTTTCCTTCCCCTGTTATTCTTCCATTTTCTTAATTTTTCCCTTGCTTTTCTCTTCAACTCACTACATTCTCCGTTCCATCCAATATTATTCCTCCCTTGCCATATGTAGATCTTTCTTTTATCTCAGGTTTACTGTTACCCTGAATTCTGTTAAATTCTATAATAGTGTTATTAACTCCAAAGAAAGAAAATACATTTTCAACAGTCATTTTGGAAATTTGTACAATACATCTCTGTATGCATATCTACATTGTGGGAAGTGAAAATGTTTAGGCATGTTTATATTATTATTGTTTATATTAAATACCACATTTTACGTATACAGAACCACTTACGGTCTTTTTTCTACAACCTCTACATTTACTTTAACCAGAATTCTTACTAATAATAATACCGTCTAGTATAAGCCCCATTTTGAACGTATCGACAAAGTAACAATATCCCTCATTTCAGGTAACGTGGACAAGGGCATCGTGGAAGTAATCAACTGCTTCTGCGTCCCCCACAAAGAAACGGTGGACCAAGTGGAGGCCGAACTCAACTATGCCATGGACGTGCATGATTTGAATCGTCGCGTAAACTCCAACGAAAGCATAGTGGGTTGGTGGGCCACAGGACACGAAGTTACTAATCACAGTTCAGTTATCCACGAGTATTACGCGAGAGAATGCAATAACCCGGTCCATGTCACTCTGGACACGAGTCTACAGGGTGGACGTATGGGCTTGAAAGCGTACGTGTGCGTTTCGTTGGGTGTACCCAATGGGAAACAAGGCTGCATGTTCACGTCTATACCCATCGATGTGACGTGTTACGATCCGGAGGTGTTTGGGTTACAGTTGTGTCAGAAAACCATCGGCGCTGGCGGCGGGAGGTCGAGGAATGTACATCCCATGTTAGATTTGGCACAGGTAGGAGTTTATCAGTTTGACTGTATATGAGAAGTTAAAATAAAGTTACGCAGAGCGATAAAAAACAAAAGTTTTTGAGTATACATTAATTTCCGACCAATCACAACAAAACACATTCAAACTGACGCCAAATTCAAATATCGTGTGTATTCAAGTGTTCATTTCCAATATCATAGATCTAGGGAAAACCATATGACTTGTTTTTATATTTATTATTGTGTGGGAGCATTTTTTTAATCGGCACCGGTTTGTTAATTTTACAGATTCTTCAGTTTTCAATTTTACGATTTTTCAATTATTCCATTATTTGGTGTGTTAGTTCTCCGATTTTCCAATTTTTTGAGTTTTAAACTTTTAGTTTTTTAATTTTTCAATTTCGTGTTTTTTTATTTTTCAGCGATACAACAAATATATCCAAACTAAAATATTGGAAAATCAGAAAATTGTATCATTCAAACAATGAAGAATACAAAAATTTTAAATGAAAAATCCAAAAAGTTCAAAATGAAAATCGAGAAACTAAAAAATCGAGATACCGCAAAATCGGTAATTGAAAAATTGGAAAAACGGAAAAATAAAAAATCCCGAAACTAAACTCAAAAAATCGAAAAACGAAACAATTTTACAATTTTTCAATTTTAAAGTTTCCAAGTTCTTGATTTCCAATTTTAATCAAAATAAAATTTTGCAAAATCGAATAACTGTAGCACCGAAACAATAAAAAATGCAACAATTAAAAATCGAGAAATTGGAAAATCGACAAAACGAAACAATTCTGCAATTTTTCGATATAATATTTTTCAAATTCTCGATTTTTTATTTTTTAATTGTTTAACGAAAGGACAAATTTATTCAAACCGAACTTTTTGAAAAATTTAAAAATTAGAAAATTGTAACATTGAAACGTGTAAAAATTATGAAAAATCAAAAAATTTAAAAATTGAGAAGTCGAAGAATTGAAAAAATAAAGAAAAATTGAAAAAACCGAAAAAATGAGAATCAAAAATTGAAAAATGAAACTTGAAACATCGAAAAATTTTAAAATTGAAAAATGAAAAAATGAGAAATTAAACAAATGGATAATTGAAAAAACAGTTGAAAAATCGAGCAATTGAAAAATCGAAAAATGAAAAAATTAAGAAATTGAATTGGATAATTGAAAAATCGAAAAATTGTTATATTGAAACCTCAAAACCCTGATTAATTAAAAATCGAGAAATTGAAAAATCGACAAAACGAAGCAATTCTGGAATTTTTCGATATTAAATTTTTCAAATTCTCGATTTTTATTTCTTCATTTTATCGATTTGTCATTTTTTAATTGTTCAACAAAAGGTCAAATTTATTCAAACCGAAATTTTGAATTGGATTGAAAAATCAAAAAATTGAGAAATCGAAAAATTGAAAAATAAAGAAAACTTAAAAAAACCGAAAAACTGAGACTTAAAAACTGAAAAATGAAACTTGAAATATCGAAAAATTTAAAAATTGAAAAATCGAAAAATTGTAATATTGAAACCCGAAAACCCTGGAAAAACGAAAAACAAAAACTTTATAGAAGTTTTTGTTTTTCGTCAAAAATACAAAGAAGAATTAATTTCAAAATTCAAAAATTTTTAAATGAAAACCGGAAAACTAAAAAATTAAAAAATTGTAACATCGAAAAAACGGAACACTGATAAACGGAAAAATTTAATAGTTGAGAATTCTAAGAATTGAACAAATACAGAAATTGAAAAATTGGCAAATTTAAAAATGAAACAATTACAAAATTGTACATTTGAAAAAAAAAATCAAAAATTGAAAAACCAAACTTGAAATAATTTCGGAGGCTTGCACGGTCGGAATCAATACATGATCGTTTTTCGGGTTGGAACCGTGTTGATTGAGTTTTTGGGCTCGTTTCGCACACTTTTGTAAATGGCATCTTCAGGAGCAGGGTTAAAAATTCTTACGAAAGTGTGCGAAACGTTGAGCCCAAAAACTCAATTAACACGGTTCCAACCCAGAAAACGGTCAAACTGAGAAAAAGATAGAAACTGTAAAATCGAAAATTTGTAACATTGAAACCTGAAAAAATGATAAATTAAAAATTGAGAAATTGAAAAATCGAAAAAACGAAAAATTGTAAAAATAAAATCGAACAATTAAAAAACAACTTAGAAAATCGCAAAATTAAAATATCTGCAAATTAAAAAATCGAAACACAAAAATTTTTCTGAAAAATAAAAATAAAAATGAAAATCGAAAAACTAAAAAATCGACAAATCGAAAAACGTAAAAACGAAACACGGAAAAATCGAAAAATTAGCGGTTAAAATTAAACCAAAAATTAAAAAATCTCGAATTGAGAAAATAAAAAATTTAAGAAAGGAAACAACTTGGAATTACATACTTGGAAATACTTTATTTTTCATTTTCTCAATTTTTCGATTTTTAATTTTTCAACAAAAGGACAAACTTATTAAAAGTGGAATTTTAAAAAATCAAAAAATCGGAAAATTGTAAAACTAAAATATTGAAAAATCAAAAAAATTAAAAACTGCAAAATCGAAAAAGAAACATTGAAAAACCGAACAATTTAAAAATTGAGAAATCGAAGAACTGTAAAAATAAAGAAACTGAAAATCGAATAATTAAGAGATCAACAATTGGAAAAGGAAAAATTGTAACCTTAAAAATGAAAAACTGAAAATTTAAAAAATAGAAAACACGAAACTTGAAACACCGAAAAATTTAAAAATTGTAATCTTAAAACTTGAGAAACTGTAAAATCGAAACACTGATTAATTAAAAATCGGGAAATAGAAAAATACGGGAAAAAAAAATTCTAGAAATAGAAAAATGGACAAATTGTAAAATTCAAAAGTTGAAGAATGTCAAAATATACATCGAAAAACTCTAAAATTAAAAAATCGAAAACTGAAAATTGAAAAAAATTAAACATTAACCAATAAAAATAATTTAAATACCGAAATGTTGGAAAAAATAGCGAAAGTAAAAAATCGGATAACGAAAAAAAATCGAGAAACTGAAAAATCGACAACAAAAATTTAAAAAATTCAAGAACTCCAAAATAAAAATCGAAAAACTGAGAAATTCCAAAATCGAAAAGCCAAGAATCTTACAAACTCAAAAAATCGATGCGAATTAAATGAAAATGCTCAGACCACACAGCTGAAACCAATAATATTCGACTTTGGCCCAGTTTGAATTTAGCGCCGATGTACGTTGTTGTGATTGGTCGGCACGGGTGCGGAAATTAATGTAGGGTAATGCAGAAATCTACACTGTCTCAGAGAATGCCAATGGGAAGTAATTTTGAGGTCATGTGGTCTGAAGGGCGTTCGGTATTGGTAGAAGCGCGTAATGTTTGAATTGGCGCCAAATTCGAACTTAGAATAAATGAAATGAAACCATTTTAAACCAAAGTTGTTGAAAGTTAACTATATTGTTTCACGTTTATTATGTATTAGCTTTGGCCTTTTGTGAACAATGACTTAAAAAAGATAACACATTGAATTACATAATGTACTTTTGTAAAATTTTCGTTTTTGTATTCCGAATCGTGTACCCGATCGTAATACTTGTTGTTTTTCAGGTGTCAGAAGCAGGATCCAAAATGGGAGTAATGTTGGACCAGGTTCTACAATATGTTGAAGACGTTTTGTCTGGAAAAACACAAGCAAATAACGCCGTCGGTAGGGCTTTATTGGATCTGATTAATTCAGTTCCTCATATGAGTAACGAACAGTTTTCTGAAATGTTCAATAGCAACGTTAAAGACTTGTTAATGGTAATTACTTTGTCTCAGCTTATTAAGACACAATTACAACTAAACGAGAAACTTACATTACTTACGTCTGTCTAATTTGATTAAATTAATTTTTGTATTATTGAAGAGAAGAATAAAATTTTCGATTTTGAATGTATATATTTTTTTCCAAACACAAAAAAAACTTAGACAAGATTTTTACAAATTTATTAAAAGTAAATATAATGTAAATATGCAATAGAAATGCCCTTTTTGATCTTATTGTAAGATGAACAGGTAGTTACGCTATCACAGCCTGAACATATACGGTATTACTAAATACTAATACTGGCACTTTTAAGAGGAGAATAATCCATTAAACGCTCTTTATTACCATATCTTATTATAAACGATAAAACCAAAAATACCAAAAAGAATGCACCCAAGTGCCAAAACACCAAACCCAGTGTCCTGACCAATCGTTGGTGCTCTAAGCAGTAAACTAATTAGGTATCCCAAATCGTCACTCATTTCTGCTTCTTCTTTAAACCACACGACAGGTAAAAAGTACTCTTTAGCATTTTCCAACAGACTGCAACAAAATAGTGAGTAATGTTATCCAAACAAAAACGCGCCATACTTTATCCTCTCGATGTTTTCAACCCTTAGATTTATTTGCATCGCCACTTTCGCATGCAAAGGAATACCCGTTTCGGGCTCTATTACTACGGTTATCCCGTGTTCATCTGCGTCGGGCTGCATACCATCAATCGCGTCTCTGTAGACTGGATCAGATAGATAAAAGTGAGGTCCAGAGAGAAATGCCGGCGCTCCGAAACTAAAAAGAAATATAAAAATGTTTCTTTTTGGTACGTGGATGTCGTACTAGCAGTCTGTGACGTTTCGTAAACCGTTCGGAAGGACGTCCCCAGGACTGAAACATGCCATTTCTGGGTATTTAGTGCCATTGTCGAATTCTTTTTCTTTTATAACGAACTTGTGGCCTTCTATGTCTAGAATTTCTTGCGTGCCTTCCCAGTCAAGACTTATCGTACTGGAACAACAGTCAGACAAAATATATACTGGGATATTTTACGTTACCTGCAAAGATCGTTGGAAAAAATTTGTACAGATTGATCATCTAATACTGGATAGAACAGTTCGCCACTTGTACCGTTCACCCGGCCACAATAACTTGGAAAATGATCCTGACTGTCATAGTTCCAAGACGTTATTCTTCCCAGTTTGCGAATATCGTCACTACCGTCATACATATTAAAAGTACCATCGTAAGTTAGCGACCCGTTCCTCTGTGCAAAAAACTTGTAACAAAACATGTAAAAAACACATATACACTGACATCAGCAAACCATCCAAATTTCAATCCGTAAGGTATCTTTATATGTCTTAGACGAAGCTTCTTAAGTATACGAAACATAGCATCATCGTACCCGTCAAAAATAAATTCCTGTGCCGTTTTTGTGACTGTATGTGTTACTGCCCGTTCTTTAAAAAGACCATTAGCGGCAAGTTTTGCAATTGGGTGTTTATATTTGACTATATTGGATATTGTCTAAAACAAAAAAAAATCAAAGATGAGATTTTTATAATTTCAAAAACGTACGACCAAGACTGGATTGATGGTTGTTACGAGGTCATCTAAAGAACCCGCAGATCTTTCTGGTGCGAAATTCCATATTCGTTGGGTCTGGTACGTGAGTGTATGATTGTCGTTGAATTTCACATGTTTACGATAGTGTTTCTCGTGGAAGCTGTAAGGACCCATTTGGGTAAAACTGGGTTTGATGGTCCATTTCGAATCTATAACTTCTTGTGGGTTGGTCCAGTTGAAGAGGTAGATGTTCATGTACAACGGTATTGGGGTTACCTCCCAAAAACCGTAGACCATCGTGTCATCAGAACCTAGATTAAATTGCTAAAAATGTCTTTATTGTTATCTTGAAGGAACAAGATAACATCACCGACCTGATCTTTCACGGCATCTACTATATCATCTGTGAAGAAGATTAAGACGATTGAAATTAGAACAAAAAAGATTGCGAATCCCAAGAGGGTCCATTTACCACATTTTGGTGTAAAGATACGCATGTTGTTCTAAAAAAAAATAAACATGTAACTAATAACTAATATATGTTATTTTAATTTTGAACCCCAAATTGCGTCAAAGATTATACTTATTTTTTTTAACTTTGTCGGTACTAGTAGGTGCTTGTGTGTCGAAGACTTTGTATTTGAATATGTTTCCAAATTTACAAAATTCTCAAGAATTCATACAATTGTCTTAGAAACTCCATGGCCGATTGTTCAAAAATTTTGCACACGCTCTAAGGTTATTGTGAACATGATAATCGCTGATCAGAATTTATCTATTGATTGATCTTTTCCAAACAATGTCACTACGTCATTTTGAAAAATTTATAAGTAGTTCTCACTTGAAATAATACAATAACTTGCGTCTATTCAAAATAGAAACAACGAGTTTTTTGAAAATTTGGTGACTTACTAATATTAATTTAGTGATTGCAGAAAAGCTAAGGTTTATTTTTTCATGTCTCGATGTGTTGATGATCACCTTAAAAAAAATAGTCAGTATTTGTGAAACATGCACCTACATAGGTGGAGTCTTTAGTTACTATTTTAACAAGGTGCGTTATTCATTCAAAGGATAACTAATTTAATTTTTGTAAAAGATATTAAAATTAGATTGTTTATTATTATATTATGTTAAAAATATAGGTTCTCTTAATATTCATGCTTAATTGAGTGTACTGGAAAGGCGAAAAAAATGTTGTCTAAATAACTGCAGATCAGTAGTTTCATAATCTAATTTTTAGCGAAAGAGCACAATTTCACTACGGACGACTAAAACTTGATCAGTTGCTTTGTTTCATATTATCAGTAACTTTATCGCTTGTGTGAACACAAAAAAAAACTTAATCAAAAATAACTGTTAAAATTCAATAGGTTCATTTTCTGAAAACAGAAGTATGTAAAGTACCTACTTAATTTTTATTAGAATCAAATTTTATTTTAATTACTAGTAGGTATTATTAAATGTTAGCTTTGTTTGAGTATAACCACTTATTTTTTTGTTTTAGTCAGGTGTATAATAATAGCACTTAAAAAATGATTGAGAATGACAGCGTGAGTGTTTGAAATGAAGTATTTTTTATTCACAATAAATGAAAACTCTATTTTTAACTCTGTCGACGAGTAGCAGCATAGCACAATTTTTATAACACATAAAAACTGTTTAGTAATAGAGTAACATAGATTAAACGAACATATGGACAGTATATTCCTGAATATTGTGAAACACCATGTTCCAAACTAATTGCCTTGATGATACTAAATAATTTTAATGTCAACACAAACCTAAAGACATATTGTATAATTAATAGACAATGAAGCTTTTGGCCTATATTTTCGTCTCTTATCATTATAATTGTTAATGGATGTCATATTGAGAATTTTACAAGTATTTTATCTAGAGAAATAAAGTAACTCCTCATTTTTATTAAATACATAATTAGCTTGATTATGGAAACAGAAAACTTGGCTTTTGACGGGTATTAAAATGATAAAATATTAGCTTTATATAAGTTTGCATAATGAAATTATCAGGTATCTATATTTACTGAACATAAATCTTCTAATAAAAATGGAAAATGTATGATCCCACTGCAAAAATTAAATTTGTCTTCAATTTTTGTAAAAAACAATTGTGTGATATGATGAAAAAATAATTTAGATTTTTTTTGTAAGTACAGTTTTTTCATTAAAATTTTGAAAAAAAAAGATTTTTCATTTTTCTGTAACTTATAATACAGCTACATGCATTTTTGTGGTATTTACTTACCTACCCACTGAAAAATAACCAGTCCTATAGCCTTGAATCTGAATTGTATCTGGGACTGTTTGGGACACTTTTACTATTTTTTCAACTGTTGTTACTTTATATTTACAGAACGTTCTTTCTGACAAAGTGTTATACTCAACCAACACGACACCCACACTTGAAACCCTGCTTGTTATAAATATTGTCTATGGAAGGGAAGCTAATCTAAAGATGCAATCTTTGTAATACTATACTTATCGAATTATTATCTGCTTGCTGTTATTATATACAATATCTGCACTTAAGTAAAATTCTTTCATAAACGTCAGTCGGTAGTATCCTGAGGCACCTGGTGTTTATCTCATGTAATTAAATTTTCTAGAGCTCCGTGTAGAAGACGACGTATAGAAATTATGTACCATTACTATCCCTTGTAATATCTTTCAAAATTCAAAAATAATACTGAAATAAACATTATTGTAGTGGTAGATTTTGAATTATTAATAAAAAGGAGAGGAAAAGAAGCAAAACATCACTATAGACTAACGTCTGAGATTGAAACTTTTGTTTTAGATTCAATCGAAGCACTGATTATAAAATTATCTCAACCTACCTTCTAAAACTAAAGAAGAAAAGTCGTTCAAAAATTGTTTTTCGGAATATTTCTCGCACGCAACAAGCAAATGTGACTATTCACTTCCCTGAGTTCTGCGTGCTCTCTTGCTCAATCTCTTTCATACATATTTTTTATTTTAGTACTTTGGTCAGTCACTTGAATTTCTCGACGTAAACTTAGTAACAATACCTAATAAACTCCGTAATTACTATAAATAGGTAGCACTATTTATGACGATGTAAAATTGAAACTTCTCATTCCTGAATATTATTAAGTTAAGTACTTAAATAACTATGATTTAAAAAAATATTCTGATTATGTTCACCTTTAATTCTCATTTCGTTCATGATTGTTTTAACCAGAAACTTTACAAAGTATATTTAAATTGCGGTGGCAGCATGGAGGTAGGTCATTTTACCTTCATGGGTAGCACATATTCCTGGATGTGAGGAACGATGATGAGTAAGCCCTCATAGATTTGTGGTCTCGCACGACATGCGAGAAATGTTCATCATTGTTTGAAAAAAAATAGCCAATGACAGCGAAAACGACTTGAAAGATGATGTCATAACAGTTTACTTGTGGAACACATTATTAGGAAAAAAAGGTGTACGTTTTATATATCCTTTTGTAAAATTACTTGTATAAATAAATTCATAAAGTCACCATCTACTAAAAATCATCTTACACTGCAAAATTAATGTTGCGCCTCTGTTATCTTATCTTATATATGGGTACTCGTATATTTGACTGAATGGTAACTTTGTTACGATTTTCACTTGTCGATGATGGAAATGAAACGCAAGATTTAGTTAAAAGAAAATTCGTTTTGGATAGAACAAATAAAAGCATTACTTAAAGAGTTGAAGCCAATTAAGTTGGGACCATACTTCAAAACTTCATTCCAGGTTAAAAACTACCTACGTTCAAAATGCTTGCCTGCAAATTGGACATAGTGTTGACTACAAGATTGGTCGAACTAGTTGTAACTCCCTCTAGCTTTCACTATGGTTAAATTACTTACTAGTTTTTGAAATAATTTTCGTTCACATTTTTATAGTAGTTTTGAAATTTACAGGTGTAACATAAAACTCGCTGTATAATCTAATAAATTGTAATTTTTTGTAAGTAATTTATTGTTAATTCATTTTATATTTATTAACTAGTTACTGAGATAAAGCAACAAAGATTAAATTCATTTATTATATGATCGTCAACAAAAGTGGAACCCTACGTTGTATTTTGTTTTAAATGGCGGAATGCGTTCAAATGCAAAATGATGAACCCCAAGGTTCGAACACAAATCGCTTATTTTTCCATCTTGGAGAGGTAAAAACAATTGTGACCTGTTAAGTACGAGGATTTATTCGCCAATTGAAAAATCCTCTCCAACCTTCAACAATGAAATTATTTGAATATCACAAATTTAAAAATAAAAGGAACAAATCTGAATTAAAGTAACTAGAGCTAATGCACAAGTTATTACGATGACATGGCGGAAATTTACATATGAACAAAACGAAAGCCATTTGTATCGCGAATCCAAATCACAGTTACAAGATCGAGGACTCTTATCTAGGTGATAAAACTCTCCTCAATATTCAGCAATTCAAAATTAAAAAAGTTTGCGAGACAAATCCGAGCTAAAATTCCCCTACTAACTCTCGAGGAACTCCCTCTCGTTCTTTCTGTTGTTGATTTTTGATTGAAAGTGCTAACTTTAGAACAAATCGGAAAACTTTTTACAGGTGGCTGGACGATGATTAAATGAATTACTGAAACTGCAAAGCTAACAAAAATTTAAATTATGCCACTCTCTCTGCAGTTTCAAACAACAAAAAATTTACACATGTTAAATGAATGAGAATGCGTTCATCGATTACCTCGTGGATCCCCACGTCACGTTAATACAACACTACTCAATAACGATCGGAACTACAATAATTACAGATGGTCTCTGAAATGCTGCGCTCTAGAGCAGCGCCATTGTGAATAAATGTTCGAATTCAAGCTGCAAGAAAAATCTTACAAGAAAACATTAAAAGCCCTCTCATTTTTCGAGCCCACGAGGATATTAATTTGACGGATGGAAATTTCAACGTCCCTTCCCTCAAAATGGATGAACGTTTGAGATCGAATTTTAATGCATAAATACATTACTGGTAATCTCGAATAAATGTGAACACTTTTAATTTATTTTTTAATCGTTATTTTCTCTTAGCGCCAAATTTTAATTCAAACCGAGACACTACAATTTCTTAACTCTCAATTTGCACTCCACCTGTTCAGTAAACGACTATACGTAGAACATTTTCGCGAAAAACAAAAACAATAAATATTTCAACTGCAAAATTTATTCTTTGACGATACACTTTATACAAATCCATTATAAGTACATATATACACGATACTGCAATATATTAAACGTATCTTTGGAACAAACAAACAATATAAAATGGTCAAGTAGTAACTATCACAGCCCTGATCAATTACAAGTATTGCTACACATCCCCACTCGTCGCGCTATCGGAACAGAGTATTAAAAAGCATCTTGATTCAATAAGATCTCTTGATCACTACCTCTCCACAGTTTCTTCCACGTGACAAACCCAAAAATGAAGGCAAGAAGGCACCCGAGCCCTACAATCCCGTACCCCGTGTAGTGCCCGATTGATGGTAAAGTAAGTAATAGTTTCGCTTGGTCGGCCAAATATTCGTTTACCGTTGCGTACTGCTTAAACCACAGAGCAGGCATATAGTGAGTTTTAACGTTCTCCAACAACCTGAAACAAAACCGATCAGAACCTTCGATTTTGCAAAAAGTATACTTACTTTATCTTGTCGATTTTCTCGACTTTGAGATTTATTTGTGCTGCTACTTTAACTTGTACGGGAATCCCTGTTTGGGGTTCGATCGACATGGTCATTTGGTGTTCTGAAGCGTTGGGTTTCATACCGACAATGGCGTCGGTGTAAAAGGGATCCGCTAGGTAAAAGTGAGGATAAGACAAAAACGCCGGCGCTCCAAATCTAAAAGGAAAATTAAGAAAAACGGTTTTTTTGAGAAAGGGGACTTTTACTTGCACTCAGATATATTGCGTACGCCGCTTGGGACGACTTCCCCTGGACTGAAACAGGCCATTTCTGGATGTAAGGTTCCGTTGTCGAATACTTGCTCGGTTGCTACGAATTTATGGCTTTGTACTCCGAGCATCTCGAAGGTGCCGTTACGCTCGAGAGTTAACGTACTGGAAAAACGATCAGTGACAATGTTTGCTTGAACAAGAGCAAAAGAGTTATTGGTATTTTAATAATGTGCATTAATCCATTGTGTGAAAAATAACCAGTTCTGACACTTCATCGAAGAGTCAACACGTAGTTTTGTAAGTGACGACGAATAAACAACTTTTGACATATGTTATGTTATCCCATAAGAATGTAATAGATTAGCGATACTGATAACTGATAAACTATGCGATGTAGCCCATCAGGTGTTGCCTGTAAAAATATCATTACCTTGAATTTTACATACGCATATAAAAAAATGTGAACCTTCTTCATACTCGAATCCAGAAAGAATGCCATCCCAAAAACGTAAAGTCGAAAGACTATTTCAGCTTTTTTAGGTTGTCAGATTGCTGATTGTCGTCAAAGTTGACATTTGAAATTTTAAAACTCCACAGACAAGAATTATTTCGTTGTTTAGTGTTTAATTAATCGTTCATTCTTTGAAGGAAATAACTTTTTTAGACGAGGATAGAGCATGTTTCGCTTCAACTTTTATATCAGTGCAAAGACAACAGTGAGCTCTATGTGGAAGAACCGGTCATTTTTGTTTAAAATTTGTATTTATCAAAATGTTTGCTTTTTAAAAAATCATTGAATAATGAAAATAAAGTGAAACTAGGCAACCCCATTTACAAAGGATCCGTTTCAATTAATGGTTGAATTTTACACAGCAGGGAGCCTTGCCGACCGACCCTTTCAGGTAATCAGTTCATAAATACTTTTGGCTGACGAACATTTTTGAAACTCTTTTATAAGTCAACTTCTTTCATTGCTGGCATAATTTGATGTACAAGTATGCAAATTTTTGTAATTTCATATATTCTACTAAAATATTTTCTTTCAAAAAATTATTCCAATATTTTTTATTAATCTGTCATTTTATGTATTAATCACTGACAAGATTTAGATTCTCATGACTTTACTAACCACTTATTTATCTGAATAATCACATTTATTTAAATTTAACTTTTTGATGCTCTTTTCCGCACCACCTATGAGGTAATATGTAATTTTTATGTATTTTTTCAATGTTTCTTTCGTTTTTATAGGTTTTCGTTTAATCAGTGTTTCAAATTTTCGATCCTTTATTTTCCAATTTTTAAGTGATTCAATTTTGCAATTTTTGGATTTCTCAATTATCAGATTTTCAAATTTCTTGAATTGTCAATATTTTGATTCTATATTTCGTTTTTTTCGGTTTTGCTTCTTTTCGATTTTTAAGTTTCTCAATTTTTAATCTTTCGATTTATCAATTTTTTTATTTCCACTATTTTTCAAGTTCTTCATTTTCAGTTTTTAGATTTTTTAGAATTTTGATTTTATACTTTTTCGCTTTTTAATTGTGTGATTGTTCCATTTTTTATTCGAAAAGTTGAAAAATCGACCAATTAAAAAATCGAAAAACTAAAAAATCTGAAACAATTGACAAAACTGAAAAACCGAAAAATTGGAAAATCGAAAAATCAAAAAATTGCGAATCGAAGAGCTGAAGAAACGAAAAATCGAAACACTGAAAAACTAAAAATCGAGACACTAAAAATCAAAAAGAGTGAATCGAATCGAAAAATTGGAAAACTCAAAAATTTAAAAATTGAAAAATGATAATAAAATTGTAAAGACGAAAAACTGCAATACTGAAATATCGAAAACCTGAAAAATTAAATATAGACACGGTGAAAAATTGAAAATCGAAAAATTGAAAAATCGATTAAATGAAAAAGTTTTAAAGTTGAATACTTGAAAGATGGAAAAATTCTAAAAACATAAAATTGACAAAGTCAAAAATTTAAAAAATTATAATTATATATTATTTATTAGATACATATTTAAAATGAAAACTAGAAAAATTACAAATCAAAAAGTGAAGTAACGAAAAATTGAAAACTCAAGAATCAAAAATCTAAAATTAAAAAAACGAAAAATTAAACAATCTAAACGTTGAAAAATCGAAAAATTGCAAATCGAAAAATATAAAAATCCTAAAAGTAAAAATTTTCACCTTGAAAAAGAAAAAACTAGAAAATTTCAACACTGAAAACCGAGAAATTGAAAAAATAAAAAAAACAAAGAACCGAAACCAAAATTTGCAAATCGAAAAATTGAAGAAATGAAAAATTGCAAAATCGAAAAAATATAAATTGAAGAACTGAAGAAACGAAAAATTAAAATACTGACAAACGAAAAATTGGGAAACTTAAAAATCAAAAAAATATATATAATCGGTTATTATAATATGAAGTCGAAAGCGGAAGTCGCGATGGATTCGCAAAAGACCTCGATTGCGAAACAATGAAAAGGGAATATGGGTTTAAATGGAGGCCACCTTCGGAAACGACAATATTCAGCCAGTTGAGTCAAGAGAATTATTTTGTACATAATCGCTGTAATAGTTAATCGTGTAAACTTGAGTTAGTACGAAATAAATTGTTGAGTTTAACCCACGCTGATTTTATTCACCGAACAACGTAACAGTATTCTAAAATTTTTCTAATAGTTTTAAAGAGTTGCATAATGCTCTTGAATTTGTTGCGATGAATTTTTAAATTGTAGTTAGTTATATTTTGCGATAAAGATCGTACTATGAACCCGTCGAAAACTTCCAGTAATTTTTACGTGTGCACCGTTTGCTTTGTGCTAGCTTTATATCAATTGTGCAACATTTATTGAAAAACAGTTTTATCTAGTTTTTAAGAAAGGTTCACTGTATGTCCATGTTCTGATAATTTTGATCATAACACAATGTGAACGTTGTCAATTTGCCTCGTGTTTAAGCTAGAACAAAATTGGGAAAAAAATTGTCCCAAACCACCCCGAGTGATACCGCCTTAAAAAAAAAAAAACAGTTCAAGAATCACATTAATTATTTTGATGAACTGAAAAATACGGTTACTGAAGTTTGTCAGGCTATATCACCTCAATATTTAATTAATGTTTTTGAAAATACGAAAGAAGAGTTCAACTTTATTTTGAACATGACGAAGGACATTTTTAACAATTTTTGTAAATTCAAGTAAAGATTACGTTAAACATTTTTACAAAAGTTACCCATACCGAGTGATTTTTTTATTCCTGATTTAGTCATTCAAGAATTTGTTGACAAAACAAATTCGGTCGAAAAGTAAAAGTAAACGCGACATTGTCACAAGTTGTATGTTCTAAGAGACGACCTACGTAACTTGGTGACGTAATGGGCAGCGAAAATTAGATCAGAAATTAATCACTGCAACTTCGTTTTCGGGTTTGGTAGCAACTAGAGCTGTAGGTTTTTTAATAGACGGCCAAAGCAATTTTTTGACAGTTCACTAATCATTGACGGATTTCAGAATTTAATAACTTTGATTTTCAAAAAATCCTACGAGAATATGTTCCGGGTTGCATAAACACGATTATCAAAATCGACCGAGAGAGCATTAAAACACGATCAAAGACAGCCATGGACTTTTGAAGATTTGTCTCATAGAATTTTCATCTTGTCAGACTACAGTCAATTTGAAAGTATGAATAGAAAATACAACGATCAAACACAAACTTTCAAAAATCTATGGCTGTATTTGTTGGTATTTGTTATATCGATGCTAGTACCAGTTATCAGTTGTCAATTTTGACATGAGCATGCCTAACAAACGTGTTGATTGGTTGAGACGATAGCAGCTGTCAAAAATGTCACTTTTGTAATCAGGCATGTCATAAAATTTTAAATAGGTTGCCAACCTGACAAAAAAATCACAAACATTAATAGTCATTCAGCATTTAAAATAACAATATGGTGTAAAAACAAACCAATGACTTTTCTAAAGGGCTCTTTGATTACAGTTCAAGTGAATCATGCGGTATAATAAGTCAAGTAGATTTCTGCTACGCTCAATCTATAAATCAGACTCAAATGTCAAACCGAAGATAAAATGACTGACACCGTATCACCCAGAAGTTTACAATTTTTATACAAAATACATGTATTCATGGACGAAATATGGAATATTTTCTACCATCACAATTACTTGAAAATAATAAACGACAGTTATTAAAGTTTCTAATTTCAGTTGAGGGAAATTAATTCGAACTGACTTTCTCGAACCATTAATCGCATATTTACATTTAAAAAATCCCAACTGATCAAACCTGTTTGTGATATATCGAGGTGTTTTACTTTGAATTTTGCGTTGACCTTCATACTACATTATATGTACGTATTAAGGTAAAAATTGCACACAAAGAAACTCAAAGATAAATTTACTGAACACCTGGCAGAAATATTTATTTAACTTTAATTTGTTACCATCTTGGTCATTTCCAATTTGGATAGTCGAAAAAAAATAAATGCTTTGGAAAAAAATACTTCCCTAACTTACACTCCTAAAGTAAGAAAAAATAAAATTGAAATTAAACGTAAACCAAGACAACTTACGAAGGATTATTATCAAAAGCAAATATTCATTAATAACACCAATGACACCTGCGGTACTCTGGTGTTAAAACAGAATTTCTAGTTTCATACTACAACGGAAGTTAGTCTCTGAATAAGGCCAAGAATGCGGTAGACATCAATCGAATCATTGGTGTCAAGTGCAGTATTAATTTACTTGAACTGTTCTAATACACTATTCTTTGGACCTGATACCATAGTGGACTTATTTTTTTTATTATATTTAAAACTGCATTTCTGTGTTATGTGTAGAAGATTTAAATATCGAATATATTATTACAGTTATTATTTGAAAATTACATTTGGTAGGCTTTATGTCTAAATAGTTTTACTAAATGCAAAAAAATAATTTGAAAAAAAAAAATACAGGTTTATTAAATTACTCACCTGCAAACATCTGCCGAAAAAACTTGTATAGTTTTATCGTCTTTAACAGGATACCACAGCTCTCCACTCGTACCACCCACTTGCCCACAATGGCCTGGATAATACGAAGATTTTTCTTCGTAATTCCAAGCCGTAAATTTCCCCAATTTTCTAACATCATCACTACCATCATACATATTATAAGTACCATCATAAGTAATCGATCCGTTCCTCTGAACAAAAACAAATCAGAACGAACACGATAAAAGAAAAACACTCACATTAGCAAACCATCCAAACTTTGTAAATGGTATATCCATATTCTTTAAATGAAGTTTCTTAAGTAGATCCAATATGGGATCCTCGTACCCATCAAATAAAAATTCTCGTGCTGTTTTAGTCACGGTTAAATTAATTTTTTTCTCTTCTAAGAAGAAATCTATGCCCATTTTTACAAGACTATGCTTATACTTAATCATATTTGCTACAGTCTGAAACGCATTTATGAAAAATCAAACAATTACATAACTTAATACTTACAAGTAAGATTGGATTGATGGTGGTTATGGAATCATCCAGAGACCCTACGGTCTTTTCTGGGGCGAAATGCCATAATCTCTGCGTCTGGTAGGTAACTGTCCGATTGTGGTTGAATATCACATTTTTACGATAGTGTTTCTCGTGGAAACTGTAAGGACCCAATTGGGTGAAATTGGGTTTGATGGTCCACTTCGAATCTATCACTTCTTTCGCGTTAGTCCAATTGAAGAGATAGAAATCTATGTACATGGGTATTGGGGTTTCCTCCCAATTTTTATACTCTTTGGTTTTATTAGAGCCTACATTAAGTTCCTGCAAGTTTTGCTGTTAATTTGAAGTGAATTAATTACTCGAACGCTAACCTGATTTTTGACTGCTTGTACTATGTCGTCTGTAAACAATACTAAAAGAATTCCGAATAGGAGGAAGAACGCAGCAAATCCAAACAGCGTCCATTTGCGACAGGTAGGTGTGCAGCAGCCGTGCATAATTTTCTAGAAAAGAGATACTACGTCAAGGATGTGTCAGTCTGTAGTGTGAAGCCCCAACACAAATAAAAAGCGTTAGTATGTATAGTACGCTAATAATAAATATGTGAGAAAAATAGCAAGTTTTTTGTCGACTGAGAATAGGAACAACGTCAACATTTAGCGTCCGCTTCACAAAAAATAGTCCTTAATGTTGGAATGTCGTAGACATAGACTTCGTATATGTACACTAATTTTTCTTGACTCACAAAATTTAAAAAGCCAAACCGAATGACCACATAAAAACGCCTATAGTTCACTTCCAGGATTCAACACTTCGAAGATTTTTAAGTTTACTATTCTGCGCATTTTTTTTATCATTTGAGTAACTCAGGATACCATAGTGCTTAAGCGAAAACGATATACTGCTACTAAACTTATGTATAGCTAAAGACCACCTGTTAGTTGAACAGTTGACATTGAAATATGACGAATCGTGGTATTGGTATTACAATCGTCTATACCGCACCGGTTTGTTAGCCAAGTTCACATTCTAACAGTGGCTCTCAAGCTTTTCACTTTTCTTTTTTTCATTCAATTCACTAATCCAAATTCTTAAGAATATTTATGGTCGAGAGTTCTTATTCCAGTAACCGTACAAGTATAGGCAATTATGATTTTTAAAATTTCTCAAATTATAGAATACCGAAATCAATTATATTATACAGTCGAGGCCAGAAAATCGTTCCAATGTTACAAAGTGTGAAACACCTAAAGTATTGTAACTTTATATTTTTAGTTTTGTCATTATTGACACTGCGAGCAAGCGACGTGAGATGTTTTTAAATTTCACACCGTATTTAAATTAAATTAAAATTTAGCTATAGTATAAATTCAAGTTAACCATAATGATTTTATAACTTTATAGGAAGTATTTATAATTTCAAATTGAAATATTTCTTTGTTATCCAACACAACAGTTTAATTGGGTTATAAACAAAATTCCAAAGTAACCATAATTTCAGAGGAAAACAAACTAAACATAATTTTTCAAAACTCTATAAACTTTACAATTTGTATAAATCTATAAATAAATCTTCAATACTTTCACTGTCCACGATTCTCACTATTAACTGCATATGAAAAACAGAGTTATAATTGTTAGGCAACTATGCATTTCTTTTTCATTATTTTCATTTCCAAAAATTAATTTTCATTTTCTGCCAATTGCAACATATTTTTTTGTGCACCGAAGTTCTATTTTAATCGATCACTAACCTTATCCAATAATCTGCACTTAAAAGCGTATTTTTTCGATTTCACATTTAACTACTTCACAGATATTATCTCTCATCGGAACAATTGCAAGACTAACACTTGTGGTTTTCCACATATTGACAAATTTATCATTATTACTATATATACATGTTTGAGAAACTTTGACCATCTACATAAATTAGTCACTTTCTGTTTTTTAACTGATATGTCTTCGTCAACATTTACAATTATTCATACTCTAATTGATAGGAATGAGTCATCATAGCGATAAATATGAACCCAACTGGCTATTCCTATTATTAAGTAATACCTTACGGCTAATTATCAAGGTCTATTATTTAAAGTGACAAACAAGCGAATTTTTTAGAAATAATGAATGTCTCAAAGAAATTTTAAATTATAGATTATATCAAAAACATGTGTTTGCATATTTTAGATAACCGGAGGCCGGGCAGACAACAATAAAATAAATACAATAACATTTACAGCAAAAACCATTGTCTAAGGCACGTCAATGGTAACAAACACTTGAAAATGCAGTTAAAGTTGTACTTTGATCTAAAATGACAATGTAAACGTGACGTCTCCCATTCAGGTGAATATTTGTCATACATTTGAGTATTTGTGTTTATATAAAATAAAGCTTTATGCAACTGTTTAGCGGAGCTATAAAGAGACTTGTAATAGTTATGATTGCGTATTAGAAAAAAATAAATTGCACGAAGTCGTCTCAGGGGTGTATAATATGTTACCTATGCAAAAATTGTCAGGTGTGAATAGGTAAAGTGAACAGATAAAATGAACACCCTGTATAGTACTTATAATTTAAGACAAATAGCCCTAACACTTATCAACCTTTAGACGTGACGGTGAAATACAAACGAAACTAAAACATGATTTCTACAAATTGCAATAACCGGATGACAATGCGACGATCCAGATTTTTTATTGCCCTGACTTCCGTTTATTGAATACAACACTACATTTTATTTGGTTTTTGGATGCTATAATTCACATTTGGTTAATTATAACTTTATATTTATATCTAGGGGAGCATCCCCTAGCCTCCCCTAGCTACGGCCTTATGAAATATCGAGAAACGGGTACCAAATTGACCAATGGACTTCATTACTGTACGTCCTTAGATTATCCTCGATAAGAAAAACGACTTGAAAGTGTTTATGTTTATACATCGGAAGAATGTCACGAAGAAATTAGTTTGATTTGAATAAGTTCGCCGCCCTCAAAACAGAGGAACAAAACAATTAACTAGTAAGCTACAATCGACAAAATGTTCTGAGTATCATTATTATAATTCTTATTAAATAAAGACGTTTGTATTTTCACATTTTCGAGGAAATGAGATGACTCGTTCTTAATTTGATCGATAAAAAATATGAATGCTATGATGAATCACAAGTAAAAACTCATATTTTGAACATTTTAGGTAGAATTTATTCAGCAAAATTTTGATCAAAAATTTATGATAAATTTAAAACATCTCGAAGATTTCAAATCATTCGGTTTTGTCGTTTCTGATTAAATCAATAAAATAAATTCACACATTCATTAATATTTTTGAGTCACCTGTATATGCAAATCCAAAAAATATGAATGGAATGATAAATCACAACTACAGACTCACCACATTTTGTACATTTTCGCTGGGATTTATTCGGCAAAATTTTGGGGTGACGTCATCGATTTTTTAGGGGGATGAGCAAATACATTTTGATTAAAAATTTACCATGATTATGATAACTTTAAAACATCTCCAAGATTTCAAAGCATTTGGTTTTGTAGTTTCTGATTTAATCAATAAAATACATTGACGCATTCATTAATTTTTTTTTGGGTCAGCCTGTATATGCAAATCTAAAAAAATATGAATGGAAAGATAAATCACAAGTACAGACTCATCATATTTTGTACATTGTAGACAGCATTGATTCGGCAAACTTTTGAGCTGACGTCATCAATTTTTTGGAACAGATAAGTAAATATATTGTTATTAAAATTGTATCATGCTTATCATATCTGCAAGATTTAAAAGCATTTGGTTTTGTAGATTCCAAATTAAATGTCAAAATGTTGTTACCTAATTTTGATTTTTTTTTCCAAAAATCTGGACATTTCGGGTAAAATCTCAATTCGGAGTCATAAACTACATGTGTAAGACTATGTTATTTGATATAATTTAAAACCCATTTACTATGTACAATTTTGAAGTGACGTCATCACATAATTGGTGGGGATGATTAGGCAAATTTTGGTTAGCGTTTTACCATCTACATGATATTCCTGACATAAATACAAAATTTAAACATTATATAACGGGCTTTAAGCATAATCCTGTACGGAATTTAAAAAAAAATATATATTAAAATATATTACCAAAGCACAAAAGAAAATATTACATCCCTGGGAATACTGTTTAACAAAGATTTATTGAATACATTTTTGCGATGACGTCATCAACTTTTTAGAAAGAATATATAAATAAACTTTAATTGATGTTCTCTAATCATTAAATCAATGTTGGCGTCTTTTGTGGGGACTATATCGCCTACATCATGACCTTCATATACACTTTAAATTTTCATAGTATTCTGTTCAGTACTTTCGGAGGATATTGTTCAATTAATTAAACTGGTACGTCGAAAAAACACGGCATTTAAAATCTATTAAAAAATCTTCCCAATCTTTCAAACTTAGTCAAAGTTCATTGTTTCATACATACGGCTTTTTTATGTAGTGGATACTAATTTTTTAAACTGCACTGAATAAGATAATAATAATAAATTCTTGGAACGAAAAAGATCTATTAAAACGACTTTCAGTAACAACAATCTACGTATTCGATATTCCGTTAAAACTCTTTATTAACAATAATATAACATTTCCGAATTTTAATACTTTCTTTTCATAAATAAAGTAAAAGTTATATGGTAAGATGCTTGTATAATACATATACAATAGGATAGTTAAACATGTTGTCAGTTTCTTATTGGGAAAAGAAGATTTCGAATATCAAGAAAAAATGGACAAAATATAAGCACCGCCCACCCACCCCTTCGCGATTGTGATGAATGCTTTATTCATCGTGAGCTGAAGGGCGGAGTTTAGTTTGCAAAATCCTCATTTCTCTCAAGAAATTACCACATGAAATATGTTTTTAAAAGTGTTGAAGGCAAAAGTAAGCCCGCCTACCCGCCCCATCTCGATTGTGGTGATTTTTTTTATTCGCCGAGAACCAAGGGGGCGGAACTAGGCTGGAACGTTATACAAATATTTTATATACAGCTCATTATTTCCAAAGATCAAATTAATACTGTTAGCATGCTAAAGCTTAGATTAAGGGCAACAGCTAGGTCACGATGATAAAGTTTTTGTAAAATTAAATATCATGCTGTGTTAATTAAAACCTTTTCACGAAATCCACTATATTTATTCTCGTAAATTCATTTCAGGGTATCAGCATGTAAAATTATCCAAAACCAATCAATTCAAAGCATAATTTAAATTTAAAATGATTTCAATTACTAACGGCTAATGCCACAGACCAGTAAACGAGGTGTTAACTGGGCTGTGACTAACGCTTTTCAAAGTGTGCACACTTCAACAAACAAAATATTTAAAAATTGCACATCTTTGAACTTTGGTCTTATTTTAACGACGTCCTTGTGACTGATAAAAATTTTATTAATTTTATTTCAACTTGTAGATCAGTCAAGCATTGTGTTATGCAACCAACAAAACATCTACAACGTTACAAATAAAACCCGTGTTTTGTCGCCTACAGTACTATTTGCACTCATTACACTGTTCTTATAATTTTTATTTAAATAAATTCAGCTTAATTCAGAATAGGAGTAAATCAAATAAAAAAAAAGTAGTTGTGGGCAACACAACATGAGTTGTTCTGCATTGCGTACATACCCGTAATGACAACATAAAAATAATCAATCCCAGTCATTTTTAAAATGTATAAACATGGACCATTACTTGGTGTATTGTGTAATTTATTAATACACAAAAAATGTGAATTTCGCGTTTCACAATGATTACATGTTTCCTGTTTACCATATATTAACCAATTTTCATATTCAGCAATAAATACACTTCCTTGTATTTTGAATTTTGGGACACACACAAAAGCCACTAATTTTAATTTTACTTTTTTGGGGCTGCTGCTAACGGGTGTCTCCGTGTACGTTGAACCATTTTCGTTCAAAAGAGGTTCCTCCATTGTATTATCCATCTCCTATTATCCAAAATCTTCCAACCTTAACAATAACCCGATCACTTCCTGCTCCTTGACCTATTACTCTACAGTCGTGGTTCAAACTAAGAATAAAAAACAAAATTGGGAACTGGTGCAATAAATGAAAATGCGAAGGAAATATTGCAAGGTTTTCGTTTCCTTGACTATAAATTATGTATCTTACTGCATTATACTACCTATGAAGATACATAATAATTGGAATTGAAATAGGGCTAGTTAAAGCATATCGGTGTTATCACCGGACAAAAATAAATGTGTAGTAAATAACTGATAAGAGGGTAAAGTTTAGTGTAAAGATGAGAACAAAAAGTGGTTATTGGATTCTACAGGATAACATAACCCTATTAAAGGCGTAATTGTTTAAAAACAACAATAACAACCGAGATTACCTGCTTTTAGACGAATATCACAGAAACACCCACATTTAAAACGGTGATTAAACACAACATTAAACACATCACTACGCAAAAATGCGATTCTTTTTTATTGTTTTGTGCGCAAACGATTATCAAGTCTAGATATGTCACAACCGCATCTTTCGAACTCGTTCGAACTAATGAATCTTCGGACACATAGGGTTTTGATTCATGTTGGATGTGCGTTGGATTGTGCGTGATTGTGCAATATGGAATTGGTCAGTGGCGTCACAAATGATGAATACTCAATTTCCAATTTGCAATATATTTAAATATTTGAAAGTTGGAAACACTTTAAAATCGAAAAAATATAAAAAGGCTTCTAAATCGGTTCTGAACGCCACTGGTCGGTTTGAGGTTATGTTTTTGTAAACAGAATTATTTGGCTGTAAATTCACAACCTTTAATATTTTTGCACCAAATGAAGGGGTGATTAGACTTTAGAAAATTTACGTTACGTTTGTTACAAACAAATCTGTGAACACTGTTGAGATTTTGAATTTTTGCTTTGACAGATCAATCAAACTCAAACGGCGCACAACTTTTTTTACTTGAAAGTATTAGTATTTGATAACAAAAGCAGAGTATACAAAATACTGATTTTGGCATTTTTGACATTTCCGACCATTTTTCAACTACATATATCCGAAAATTAGATGAAAATTTGGAGAGATTTCGATATCCAGAAGTCATTTTCGGCTTCGTTTCTTTTGAAATTGCTACCATTTTTCCAAAATTGCTAAATGAAATGCAGCAATTTTTAGGGTTTCGTCAAAATAGCTCGCTAAAAAAAATTTGTGGATAAAAAAGAAATTTTTTATTAATTTTTGTTTCACCAGATACAATTGTTTCAAGTTTCAAGAAAGTATTTACTTTGTAGTTTTTATATAAGTATTTACAGAAATATTTAAAATTTATTTATTTGGGACAATAGAGAAGTTAGTGCAGGTCAGGTCACGTTAGTTCAAATCAGGCCAGGTGCATAAAATAAGAAATACATTTTATAGCAAATAGTATAACAAAAAAGGTACAATTAGCGCTTTTTTTTACTTTTTAACATCTCAGATTATACTAGGAGTATTAGTTTCCACTCCCACTCAACAGAAGAATATAATTAGCCCCGCCCACCCACCCTGTCTCCTTTTCAGTGACTGCGTTTATTTGAATGAAATGAATTATCTTATACTGAACAGAAATAAAATTAGTCGTTAGAATGAGAAGAGGGGGTGACCGGAGCTAGTGCTAAGATAAGACTGATTGGCAAATGACATACCTTCCAAGAAAATAGAGGGTGGGTGGGCGGGGCTAGGATTTAATAACAAAAGCCTGATTTTGGCACTTTTAACATTTTCGACTATTTTTCAACTATATATATCTGAAAATTAGATGAAGACATTTTCTTGGAGATTTCGATATCCAAAAGTCATTTTCGGCTTCATCTCTTTTGAAATTCCTTTCGTTTTTCTAAAATCGCTAATTGAAATAAAGCAATTTTTACAGTTTTGTCAAAATAGCTCGCTTGAAAAATCTTATAGATAAAAAAGAAAATTATTATTAATTTTTGTTTCACAAAATACAATTGTTTCAACAGAATACTTTGTAGTTGTTATATATTTACAGAAATGTTTAAAATTTGTCTATTTGGTACAATGGATAATTTAGAACAGGTTAAGTCACGTTAGGTCAAGTCAGGTCAAGTGCATGAAATAAGAAATAAATTTTATAGCAAATAGTATAACAAAAAATTACTGTTTTTACTTTTTTCACATCCTAGATTCTATCACTAGTTTCCACTCCCTCTCAACAGAAGAATATAATTAGCCCCGCCCACCCACCCTGTCTCTTTTTCAGTGACTGATTTTATCCGAATGAAATTAATGATATTATAATGAACAGAAATAAAATTACTCGTTAGAACGAGAAGGGGGGGGGGGGTGACCGGAGCTAGTACTTGCTAAGACAAGACTGATTATTTGGCAAATGACATACCTTCCAAGAAAATAGAAGGTGGGTGGGTGGGGCTAGTATTTGATAAGAAAATACTGATTTTGGCACTTTTGACATTTCTGACCACATTTCAACTACATATATTCGAAAATTAGATAAAAATTTGGAGAAATTTCGATATCCAGAAGTCATTTTTGGCTTCGTTTCTTCTGAAATTCCTACCGTTTTTCCAAAATTGCTAAATGAAATACAGCAATTTTTAGAGTTTCGTCAAAATAGCTCGCTAAAAAAAAATTTGTGGACAAAAAAGAAAATTTTTTTAAATTTTTGTTTCACCAGATACAATTGTTTCAAGTTTCAAGAAAGTATTTACTTTGTAGTTTTTATATAAGTATTTACAGAAATATTTAAAATTTATTTACTTATTTGGGACAATAGAGAAGTTAGTGCAGGTCAGGTCACGTTAGGTCAAATCAGGTCAGGTGCATGAAATAAGAAATAAATTTTATAGCAAATAGTATAACAAAAAAATTACTATTAGCTCTTTTTTTACTTTTTTCACATCCTAAATTCTATCCCTAGTTTCCACTCCCTCTCGGCAAAAGCCCCCCCATCCACCGTGTCTCCTTTTCAGTGATTGATTTTATCCGAATGAAATGAATAATCTTATAGTGAACAAAAATAAAATTAGTCGTTAGAATGAGAAGAGGGGGGGGGGGGGTGGACGGGGCTAGTACTTGCTAAGATAAAAATGATTTTGGCAAATGACATAGCTTCCAAGAAAATATAGGGCCGGGTGGGCGGGGCTAGTATTTGAAAAGATAAGACTGATTTTGGCACTTTTGACATTTTCGACCATTTTTCAACTACATATATCCGAAAATTAGATGAAGACATTTTCTTGGAGATTTCGATTTACAAAAGTAGGTTTTTGAAAAAGTCAAATGCCTTGTTGTATAAAAATATTTGTCAGGTTTTGTAAAATTATCATTAACAATTATTATGATTAAATTTCCGTGGCACAATCTATACAAAAATAATGTTTATTTTCGCTGAGCATAAAGTTTTTTTTATGTTTGTGTAAAAAAATGGCGCAGAGTTGGGCTTAGAGATTTCTTAGACAAATTTCTGGTTGGACTATTGTTCTCTCCTGTAGATGTATTTAAGAATATCGTATAGTCTGTTTATCCCATATAGTTCATCCCCACCCACAATTTCATGACATCATTTCAAATTATTTCAATTTCATCCAGAAATATGCTTCTTTACTGTGGTTTATTAACTTGTCTTCTTTTTCCTTGGACATCTAGAATTTTGGAGACAATAATCAAAACTGAAAAAAAAATTGACAATTGACTGAGAAACGATAAAACTCACTCCTCTGAAATTTTACAAATGATTTAAAGTTTTCGACTTATCATGAACATGGTAAATTGGTAATAACATTTTGTTTGTTCATTCCTTTTACAAATTTGTTGTGATTTCAAATTTTTTGTGGATAAATCCGATCTATACATAGAATCTGTAAGTGGTAGTAATATAAGTTGACAGTTTTGTAATAATTATATTTCTTGAATAATATACTATTTAAATTTTATAAAATAACATGCTTGTGTACTAATAATAGAAAATTAGATTTTTCTTTTGGTGTTTTGTTTTAATCTTGGTGACTCTTGAATTGTACTATTATCATGACATTTTTTTGTTTTTATTTTTAAACTCAAAAAGAGTTTAGTGTATGAGCAATATTCACTACTGTTTAAAGTTGACGGGAAATTATAGTCAGCTAAAATATAATATGCAACCAGCTGTACAAATTTCTACGACAAGCAAAGTAATGTAATTCTTCCCTTTGCTTGAGTTTTTGAGTACGCCACTGTCCAAAGAACATCTGAATTTGACGTTTGTTTTATTATCTTCAAAGTGAGGTTATATTTACATTGTGTGTGGTACATTTAAAAAGAATGTAAATGTGTTTCTAAAAAGACACTAATAAAAATAACAAGAAATTTTGTGCAATAATGGAAACTAAAAGTTCTGCCGTTGAAGAATTTTGCAGATTATGTTTAAAACCAAAGCCGTATTACCTGCAACTATTTCAAAACCAAATTATTGAAATGCTGGAATCGTTAACTTCAATAAAAGTAGCGTCTACTTTATTTCTACTGCATGGATCTTAGTTTAAATGTTTTAGATAAGCTGCGACGATCCAGGCCCCAATTTGACTTGCTATGGATGTTATGTGGCGATGAAAGTTGCATACACAACTCAACAAAGACTAATAAAAACAGAAATGTTGCTTCAAGAGAAAATATTAGGTCAGCTTGTGGTAAAGGAAGAAATAGAAGAAAGCGGCAGTGAACTAGAAATGTTAGAAACCGCTATTAAATGTGAAGATGGTATTAGTGAAGAAATTCAACCAGAAGATCAATATCATAATGAAACACCCAGCACTGGTTATAAAAACAAAAACCCAACATTTTTAAAGTGTGAAACATGTCCAAATACATATGACAATTATTTTGACTATTCAGAACACTCAAAAGGTCATGAAATGAAACAGTGCTTGATGTGTCCACAAGTTATCTCAGCAATAGGATTTAGAGAACACAATTTAACACATGATACTGGTTACTGTGAATACTGTGGGGCGCAATTAAAACATGCACTGTCTTTAAGGAAGCATGTGCAACTTTACCACAGAGAACCAAAAATTATGTGTGAACAATGTGGGGAAATTTTAGACAATAGAAGAATGTTTGATACACATATAACCACACACCATACAAAAGATGCGGCGTTTATTTGTGATCACTGTGGCGCTAAATTTTATAGTGTGAGCCTCTTGAAAAAACATATTAAACAACAACATACTATTGATGAACAGTTTAGCTGTAACGTTTGTGGTAAGGCGTTTGGTTTAAAGTCCAAGCTTAAAGCTCATGGGTTAAAACATTCTGATGAGAGGTTGTTTATTTGCGAGTTTTGTGGAAAGGGGTTTAAGGAAAAAGGCACCATGAATACTCATAAGAAGGGTGTCCATGGGTGGAAGTCAGAAGAGAAATTCAGGTGTAAATTGTGCGATAAAGGATTTGCCACAAAATTTGCCTTAAGTACACATGTAGTGAGGAAACATAAGGAATAAATTCATGTTTCTAAAAATGGTTTTTCTTGAAATCTTATTTCTTGCAATTTCCACACTTCTATTGTCTGATAAATGTATTTTATCTTTCGATTTTAAAGCAAAATATCTAAAATTGGTCCTATTCATAAAACTGCAAGTCACTTCAAAAGAGACATTGTGATAACCCAAACTTCCCGCCTTAAATTGACCTTGAAAAAGTTTAAAAGGGCCGCGAAAAATTCAAAAATTCAAAGTTTGGTCTTGGCTGTGATCGTCTAACAAAAAGGAAACCTACGTTGTGTGTTTTTTTTTACATGGCGGGAAAACGTTCTTTCATACAAGTGAGCATATACTGCATGTGAGTCAAGAGCGCAAGAAATAATAGACAAAATTGTTTTGGAGGGGCCAACATGGCACCCCTCTCAGGAGGGAAAAGGAGCTGCGAGGATTCACTCCTCAGCCCCAAAATGTCGTATATTCACGGACATATTACATTTCAAATGAAACACCTTAAAAATATGAAGGAAGACACTCGTGAATTGACAGACATACACATATCAAAAACGAACAAACGCAAGAACCTATACAGCTGTTTGGAATCAATGCAAATATTTGAATATCACAAATTTAATAAAAACACAGCAAAATCTGAATTAAAGTAACTGGATGCAAATACAGAAGTTATTACGGGCGTGTGGCGGCAGATTTTAAAGTTACGGAAGTTAACCGGAGCACAACAAAAGTACCCCTGGGGCGTTCTAGCACAAGCGGAGTTTGGGGCTACCGGTCGGGGCTGTTTTCCTCCCTCGACGTTGATTTTATCTATACCAAGCCTACCCATACAGCATATTACACGTCTGTAGGACGAACATGCCGTCCGAAACTAGGCCGTTACGATCGCAGATCCGCAGTTAGATCTAGACTATTGGGCCAAGTCGAGAGCACTACAACATCGCAACCGCCCCTGAATCTATCCAAACCTGTACCCTTTGTGCAGGCGACGCGATAAAGTCTCGCCAGCTCGACTAGGAACCGCACTTCGCCTTTTGCCACGTTTTCCGTGTTATTTAACCTCAATTCCATTTTAAATATTTAAATTCGCCATACAATTTTGTGAAATTTTAAACAACAAATAATTCTTATGTGAGATTAAAATTGGACATCAAATAATAATTTATACGATGGAAACATTCATCAACAAAATATTTACAAAACAAAACTTAGAAAAGATTTATAAAACAAAAGGTCTGGTGTGAAATAAACTTGTGCAAATAAAAATATTATGTGAGAGCATGAAATTTACGTTCAATAAATTATACAACAAAGAAAATTACTGAAGTTAAAATTGTAAGATAGAGAAATATTGTATGAGGTGAAAAATTGCAAAGCTAACAAAATTTACATGAGATTAATACTTGCCACACTTTATCAATGATTCAAACAAAGACTACACATGATCTAAGGGATTGCTTACTAAAAAAAAAAAAAAAAAACAATTTACTTTGAGAGCGAACTGTGGTTACCCCAACAAAACACATAATAAACAGACACAAAAATATCCAATCATCGTTGCGAGGAAAAAGCGTCTCGGTGATCTAATTTGACTGTTGCGAGGGAATACCTCGATTATGTATATTTTTAGCGTTGCGAGGACATGCCTCGATGAAGTAATCATGATAACGACGATAATAACTATGATAACCGCGTAAGGGAAGAAATTATTTTAACCCCCCGCCAGTTCGCAGTATAATGAATTTTGTTTAACTGCTGTAAATGAACTATTAGCTATCTTGTGTGAAGAATTAAGAAGTGTAATAATGTAACACTTACGTATACGCATCCAGACACCTATTCGTAATTAAACAACAAAGGTGTTTTCCTGACTAAGTGAATTTCAAGAAATCTTTTAGCAAGTGGTTTATTAAATAATCCTGATTGTTAAATTGTTTTTGCACTAGCTGACGATTAAGAAAAACTAACTTGATCTGTGAATTTACAAACAATAAAACAAATTTACAGCACGTGTTTCGCGTTGAAAGGAAGTCCGCACTTTTTCGATTAAAAGGCCGCAAGAATTAGCCGCGCGGGTTGGATAAAACTGAGCGACGTCGGTTACGATTGACTGTCGTTAAACAAAGGCTTCCTCCTTTTTATTAACTACCAAACCAGCTAATTTAAACCTAGCTACTTACAGCGTCCTTTCACCATGCATCCACTACACCGAACAGAAAGATTTCACGCTTTCAACCTGCTGCCCTCTATCTACCAAGTCGCTCTCTAACTAAATATGTAAAACTAACCCCTAAGCGCTACGTGCATATTTAGATGCCTATCTTTAACGATTTTTTTTTGTGATTGAATTTTTTTCCTCTTTCAAATTCAAATTATTTAGGTGTGATTTTGCGCCGCTGTTAATTAATTTTTAGCGCGAAAATTTTGATTTAAATTCGGTCACCACAGCATTAAATGTAAAAATAATGATTCTTCGTTATAAACATTATTCCTCCCTTTCTGGTATTTTAGAATAACTTACCTTAACAATCTGGTATGCTTTGTTTGAATTTTAATTTTTTCACAAGCGTCTTCCTGATGGTGTCCTCAAAATTTACAGTATACTTTTGACTGTTGGCTTCTGACAATTTTTATCTTTTTTACTTCCCAAGTGACTGCTAATTTTATGTTTCCTCGAGATTCTATAACCCCTGGAGTACGAAAAAGTACGTATCCCGATTCCGTTTGTTGACGATTTTATTACACAGATATTCTTCGAAACTACTGGACTGATTTTTGAGAAAATGTTCACGTATTTTAAGAATATCGTGCAGATGGTGAATCCCCACAAACAATTTGATCGTCAAAAATTTTGCAGAGTAATGTTATTTCATTTTTATAAATACCTGTGGCTTATGAATCCGCCTTTATGTGGACATTGAGATTTTTGCAAAAAAAATGTGTAAAAACATTTTACAATTTATCTAAGAAACTGCCGAACCGACTAGAAAACTGAAAACTTGTAACCTTTTAAGGTTATCATGAGCAGTTAAATCGCTAATTACAATTTAACTTTATCACATCAAAAAACTTAACGTCCTCTCAAAATTTAGCTAGATTGAGCCCTATTAAAAATATACAACATAGGTACTGTGGTGACGGAATTTGAATCAAATTTTCGCGCTGAAATTAATTAACAGCGGCGCGAAATCACATTGAAATAATTAGAATTTGAGAAAAAAATTCATTCAAAAAAATCGTTAAACATAAACAAAAGAATATAAAAAATTTACAAAAACGATTTTTTGTCGTAAATGCGAAGTCCCAGATGTGAGTTAAGCACCTTGTTTTGGGCGTTTTTGGGCAAGAAAGAATATAGAATGAGAAACAGTCCATCCAAAATTATAATTAATAGGAAAACATATAGTTAGTGTTTGCAAAAAAGTTGTATCTAAATACAACTTACCGCCGAATTAATGCCTTTAGCACTGGTTAGTTATTATAGCTGATTTTATAATAATAATATAACCGTTTTGTTACTTAATTGTTAAACATTTATTTAATAAACAATAATATTTTTAAATGCACGGCTATTAACCGGACATTTCTTACAATATAAATTATTTAACATGCACAATTTTGTTATAAACGTTTGCAAAACCTACTTGTGTTGATTGTACAACACTATAGCAACATCTTTATTCCATAATTTCCAACTTATTTACCTCCTGTGGTTGACCGGAGAGTCGATTCTATTTCCGGTAGTATCTTGTCTTTGGTGCAACAAACCTCCAAAGTATTGCAGTCAGATGAATGACTAAAAAATACGGATAGTTGGCTAATAAGTAAAAATTTTAATGATGCTTGGAAATGTAAAATGTATTCTCGTCTGCATAATAAATAATACATTAAAAAGCAACCTGCTGGGAATGGCTCTCTGCGCTCGGTGATTATTATCATTTACTATAGTATACAACTACTTAAGTATTCAAAATTGAAAATTATTTCGCCATTGAGTATCTATTTTGTTTTTGTGATATGGTGACATTGTGCTGTATTGGACATTCTATTAAGTACATACCTACCTATATTACATATTTATATTTTATTACCTATCGTTGAAGTCAATCCATCCTAGTCCTTCGAAATTACAATGGTAGTATGGGACACATTCACAATTGTTTTCATCTTCAGATTGTTTCTCGGTCTTGGCATCACTGGTACCTCCAAAGCCGGCATTGCAGCTTAGAATTAGTACAATAATCAGTGTGTAATGGAGATACATCTTAAATATCGAACAAAATGCTCTTACAAGGTTTCTAACATTATGAGCTTCTTATATATGTTCGTAGGTACTTAAGAATAATGACACTATTTTGTGAAGTAATATACAGGATGATTATTTTATCTGTTCACGCCTGGATATTTCTGAGTAGGGAACACATTTTATTTGGCGTAAATTAATTATAGCGGCCCAATTATTTTCAACTTTTGCTAACAATATTTTCAAATTCCGAAACAAAACCGATGTGTTTTTAACTTTGGGAAAGTGCGATGGAAATTTCGATGATGCTGTGCCTCTGTGTCCAGGCAGTTTCCCAATTACCCAATAATTGTACAATTGCTTCTAACCAAGGATATTTTGTTTGAATTTTGCCATATTAGTTGTTTGACGTCTTTGTGACATAGTGTGGTTTTGTGTTGTTCTATTTATTAATTATGTAAGTTTGCAACGAGGTGTATAATGTGTTACCTACATGGAAGTATTCAGGCGTGAACAGATAAAATAATCACCCTGTATTGCTGTGTGTAGATTAGTAGATTACCGTTTTTCATTAACATCTCGCTGACCTTTCTCAACCGATACTTGGGCCTTGAAAGATAATGGGTATTAAGATATTTTTGGTAAACTTTCCATTTACCAATTTAGTTGCATAGAAAATGACAAAATAATGTACCTATAACTTTCGTTGGAAATAAATAAGTCTGATGTTTACTGGTTTACTCTTATATTAATACGTATATATCATTAATTGCCATT